TTCGGATAACCGATTATGTACGAAAAAATATATTAACCTATCCCATGTTGAAATTTTTCTCCATTGCGTGTCACTTTGCGTTGAATTTTCATCGATGTTAAGCCTAACGTAAACTTTTTAAAATAATAATCGTGACTATTGTATCATTAAAAATTATTTCTTTATTTTGTACAAACAAAATAAATATAATAAAAAATTATACTTCAGAAGTTAATTTAGTATCAAAAACGTAAAATATTTGAGTAGCCCAAGACATAGCCAAAGATTGCAGTGCCACAGCACTGGCGAAAATTTAAATTTGCTGATTGGAATTCTTTCAGATAATTGACGCTCTACTGTATTTGAAATGTTTTATCTACAGACAGAAATGTCTCAACATACCGTACATGAAAACTATACAAGTTATATCGAGAAGGATCCCAAATAGTCACCAGAAGTTTGTCTGAAAGTCTTTGTTTTCTCAGTTAAACAGAACATTTTTCATGAAAATGAAAATTAATCTCTTTTATGCACTGTCTCTAAGATAAAGCTGATTGCATCAAAACTGCATATTAACTAAAATATCAGTCTCAAGCTAAATTTTTGCACTAATTTTTTTATGAAGTAAATTATTATTATTATTATTATTTACTTCATACTGTATTATTTATAGTTCAGTGTTATTGAAGCAAGAAATATTAGCAAATAATGATTAAAACAATTAACATCTAAAATATTGGTTATGACTGATAACATGAACAGATGGCTTAAAAATGCCTATTTATCTGAATATAATGATGACAATGCTTACTGTAATCAGAATTCAGTTAAAGTTTTATTTTAACTTGTTTTGGGACTTGTAAACATTAAATGACTGACAAAAATGTTTTTGATTACAATAAGCAGACTCTACTAGAGTATATATTTCTCATTTCACATTATTCTCATTTTATTTTTGCTATTAATGAGGTAAATACAGATACTATTATTTTATATTAACACAAATATTAACTAATTAAAATTACACAATAAATATTTTTCACCAAGAAAGCAAATTATTTTTATCATCAAAAATACTTTTATTAATAAAGACTATCTTATTTAAATTGTTATAGGAATTTCAAAAGAATAAAGAATTTAAAATTAACAAACAAAAACCTTATCAAATTATCATCTATAGTATACTGCATTAAGTTATATATTAATGTAAGAAAATTTCTTAGTGAATCAGATAAATAGTAAAGAGGGAAAAGGTAGAATTAAGATTCTGTATTTGAAGTTTTTAAGATCAAAAATATTTGATATTTTTGGAAAATATAACTGGATCATAATCAGCTGAGATTCCATCAAGTTATTAAATATAATTGTATATTTAACAACAGTTAAACAAAGAGTTTTCTTTGAGAGGAAAATTTAACATTACACAACAAGTTCTTTCCATACTTATTCCATGTACCAATTTTGGCATTAGAAATTCTTTATAAAATTCTCTTCAGATTTAGCATATCTGCTTTTACATTCTAGCTTTAATATTATTATTAAAGCTAGACTGTAAAATTGTTATATATTTCTATATTTTGTTCATTAATTAATACAATTTAATCAGTGAACAAGAAAGTAAAAGAACTGAAATTGCATACAGAAGCAAGCTCTTCAAAAATATTAACCTGATAGAAAACTATCTGTAATAGAAATTTACATGAAGTATAAAATTTGGAATTAACGCTAAGAGAAATAATTTAAAATTTAAATATTACTTGGAATAGTTGGCTAATTAAAATGTTAAATCAGAAAAATTGCAGCTGTCCTGCATATCAGTTAATTTAATGATAAATACCCAAATATAAAAATTTGGGTGATTTAATAGCTTTTAAAATGATTTTTTTTTAATATTGTAATTTTTTAGGCTGGTGAAATAATGAAAAAGCATTTCCTCTAAGTAAAAAAATCAAAAATATATATTCTATATTAGAACAATTAATGCTGAATTCATGGGAAAAAATATTTTTCTATGAATTCGGTATTAATTATCCTACTTCCTATCTACACTGTTTTTCTTCTTCTTTGACAGGAAAAAGCAAATTTATGAATGAATGAAATCTAAAAATAAAATAATTTAATATGCCATGAATGAAACCTTTCATAATTTAAATTTAAATCTAAAAAATTCCTAAATATCTGGCAGCCAATAATCAAGCAAGTTGTTTCTGGAAGTGACGAAAAAACAGATAAATATTGCATCACTAAGTACAGTAGAGTCCCGTACAACGCGGGGGATTTGTTATGCATTACAGGAAATTGCGTTATCAAAATTTGCATTATCACATGATTTGTGAAAGTTTAAACATTAAAGTTTAACCTTATAAGTTGAAAAAAAAATTTGTATACCTCTGATCGACAAAATTTGAGGGTGTTGTTTGCTTTATTTATGCATTATACGGGACTCTACTGTAGTTTTGACCGTATGATTTTTATTATATTCATTAACATTATTAACTTTAAAAATATACGTACGAGTTACATTTGGAGTAAACATTTCTATTACAAAATTATCCGTCCCTTGATTATGTTGTAATATTTTTCCTTCCTAATAACAAACAAGTATAGAAAATTATATTTTATATTTCAGATATGTGAATTAAGATAAATTTTATAAAACAAATTTATATAAATTAAAAATAAACAAAAATATCTACTTTATAACTTGATATTTCTGGACAATACGATGAAGACAGTTCTAAAACCTAAAAATTAATTTAAAGTAATTAAATAATCAAGTTAAATATGGTATTATACTTATTTAAACTAATTTTAATTTAAAATTAATATAAATCAAAGATCAACATTTTTTTTTTCTGATCGACTTAAAGTATTAAATAGGATGTTAGATTATCAATATCTAAATAAACCAAATATTTAACCGTCTTTTGCAAATTACAGAAAATCTGTGTGACTTACATTAATCATTTATTAGCTGTTACATTAAGATAAAAAATTTTTACTTTTATTTTAATTTTTTGCTTTTACTGTTAATATTTATATTTGTTTACTCAAGTTGTTTATATGAAATTTGTTATACAAACGCTCAGCATAATATCTCTACATATGCTGTGTTTACTGTAATTTAATAAATATAATAATAATAAAGAATAAAATTTTTGTACTAATTTATGCATTATTTTTATCTATTTTATTTATCATATACTCCTTACAGAAAATCTCCCCTAGGAGGAGGGGGTTAATAGAGCTAATGGATTTTACAATAAAGTTATATTTTTTTCCAAATTGTTTCATCTGTATTAGAAAACAATTCATCTATCTTGTCAACCAAGAAATTACAAACAGTGATACAATCATCAGTTGGATAAGATACAAATTTTTCACAATTTATAAATAATGATTCAAAGCTGCATTGCCCCGTGTATAATAAAGACACTTATCTGAAGAATTTACATTTACATTGAAATTTGTCCACATTAAGTGAAACTTATTTAAATGCACCTAAACAATCATTTTCTTTACAACATAAGGTAATTGATGATGATAAACAAAAAACCCCTGACAGTTGTCCAATATTTCTGTGTATCAGGTGAAATTTTGCATTGGCTATCTTTTCCTTCTCCTCTCCAGCAAAAAAATTGTAAAATCTAATATAATTGTGTTGCTATAATATTTTATGGTCTCTGAAGATGAATCAATTAAAGTTAAGGAAAAGCCAATTCGGTATACCAACTATTTTTTGGAAATCTGTTCTTTGACAGTCATTTTAAAACTAAATATGCTGCAAACTCAAGATGAAGGGTCAGAAACAATATTTGACAGAAATTTAAGTATAAGTTTGATAAAACATTTACAAGGAAATTCCAAACCCAATTCAGATCTGATAGTGTACATCAATGTCTATCTCTCAAGACAAAAAAAGGCAACAAAAGAATGAGAATTCAATCAAATCAAACTTGTCAAAACAAAAAGGTCCTCATAAAGATAAACACTATGACCAACCAACATAAATAGAGAAGCAGCTATTCTTTTAAAAAGTGGCATGTGGCTATTTCTCATCTTTCTTAAAATATCAATCATTACTTTTGCCTTAGAGAAAGCTTTACAGTTTACAAAAAAAAACATAAATGACAAAAGGACCTGATACTGATAAATGAATACCCAGGTATACCACTTTGTTTACAATGTTAATCTCTTTACTGTTTATAAAAAATTGTATCTGATTTTGCTTAGCCACCCTCTCTGTCCCTGATGACTTAAGGAAGTTAATCCTTAAACCCAAAGAAAATAAGTATTGATATACTATATCTAACTTCCTTGAAAGTAGACCAGTGTAGTCTACAACAAAACTGTATCATCTGTAAACTAAAGCAGTTGTACAGTACATCAAAACCACTCAAAGTAATGGCTTAATCTCTTAAATCATCAAAAGCCTGCATCATGTTGTTTATATAAGTGAGAATCCAGGATTGTTGTTTTTTATATAAAATGTTATTTGTATCTGTATTAATATTTGTAAAAAAGTTAAACAAACCAAAAGATTGCAAATTTCAACAAGGAAGTTCATGAGATCTTATCTTTGACTTTGTTTCCATCTAAAACAAGACATCTTCCTTTGAATGCAACTCATGTTACTCCAAGGAAGTGTGGTTATATTGTTGAATTGGACAATTGATAGGAACCACATTGAGATGATTAAATTTGGTTAGACATCGATGTATCTGATGAAAGGACAGGTAAATTGCACTTTAAACCTATTGTCCAGTGTCGGTAATATAAACTTTATGAACATTTTTGGGCTCTTCCTGAGTTCTGCTTCAGGTAAAGCCTGAAAACGTTCATGAAGTTTTTTATATTACTGACACTGGTTTAATTAATTAATTAAAGTGCAATTTATTTGTCATTTGGTGTAAGTGCTCTTTTTTGAAAGGAAAGATATAAAAGAAGAGGCAACATTTAAACTGTCACTGCTGCCTTGATTAAAACCTCATAAAAGTCTCTCTCAGAGCCACCTCAACATTCCACAGAATTATATTTGAGTTTACCCTCCAAGAACTTTCCATTGTACAGATGAGATTAAGTCAACTTTTGATCTAAGACATAGATACTACAATTCAAGTGTCAAGTCAGACGATCAATATAAATTTTTACCTTGCCAGGTGCAAGTATTTATGAATTAATTGTGAACTCTTTGTACATAGAGATGAATGTATATTGATAGATTTGTTAGTTATTTGTTTATGTTTGTTATTGTATTCTTAGCTTAAATAAATGTTTTTTATTATTAAACTCACAATTTGAATGGGTGGTTTGTCTCTCTAATTCTGCTTACCCAAGTCCTGTATGAGACTGCTTGCACTCGAAAAATATTTCCTATGGGCCAGAATTCACAGACAGTGTCATAACATCCTCACCTTGATAAATCTAGACTATTTCACCTGTCACCCATAACAAACAAACAATAAAAGACTAAGGGTATCACTTTGTGGGAGACCCTTTTCTAATGTAAAACCAGCGCTTTTTGTCATAGAACGCAATGGAACGGTGTTTCACCACCTTTTTTCGATATATTTTAAAACTTTTAAGAGAATTTTTGAAAATTTGATGTTTGATCCACATTGAATCACTCTGTTGAGCATAGAAGATTGGCAATAAAATTATTAAGATGGTCCTGCTCGTGTGCCGAATCTTGTGTACGATGCATATAATATATTTTTAGTAATGAGATGAGCGTTCCACCACCTTTTTTTTCACAGAAAAAGCACTATGTAAAACTATTTGTGGTTCCTAAACTTGTAACTATCCAGGCTTCTAGTCTTGTAAATAAACTTTGAATGACTTTAATGAATTTGTCAGAGATTGCCGATGCTTTTAATTTTGTGAATAAAACTGATAGAAAAAAACACTATCAAATGTCTTTTTATAAATAATAAAGGTGGCCAATAAATGTTGCCTTTTCCAACATAACTATTTACAAATTAATGAGTGGAAGATCGATATATTGCATAGAACAGGGGTCAGCAACCTTTCAGTGTTGTTGTGCCGAACCTAAGCAGAATCTACTCTATTTTGGTTTTGTCTATTCTACTGAATCATTTGTGATACTCCGAATTTTAACAAAAATCAATCGTCACTGTCGTCATACTTGCTCAACAATTGTTGTCCTCAGCTACCCAAGAAAATATCCCTTTACATTTTCTCAATGGCAAAAGTGATGCATTCCCGTGATCTGCTGACCTCTTAGCCAGGTGATGTCGCACTGATATCAGATTTGATGGCTGAAAAGTCAGTTGTCGCCAGTCACTCTTAGATTAAAGTCATCAAAATTTTTCCCATGTCAGTGCAAATTTCTGTGCTCAATCAGTACTCTGTTGGATTTTCACGTTACTTTCCACTGTGCCTAGAAGAATTTTCTTGATTCAGACCAGTCCAACAATCCAAATCCTCATCCTCAAGATCCTAATCTCAACCTCAATTCGATAATCTAAAATCAAGAATCATTACCATCAATACAGGTTAAGGATGCACCGATTAATCAGTAAGTAATCGATAATCGGCCATTTTCCCGATTAATCGGTATTGGCCATTTTCCCTGATTAATCGGTTTTAATAATCGGCCAATTTTGTATTTTAATATTTTTGTTAGAATGTCACGTAAAAGGCTAATAATAAAAAATATTAAATTTCTGTTATATATTTATTATTTATTACATGACAATCTAAATATTAAAAAAAATTTAACTTAAATTATTTCTTTTATTAATACATATCATAAGGTATAATGTAACCCATTCAAAACTATCTGTTTTATTTAAAGTTTAAACTTTAAATATATAAAACAAATAAAAATTTAATATTCAAACTTTAAAACCCTTAAACTGTAATACAAAAACATGACAATTAACCATTTTCAAAGCTCTTAAATGTTACCTCCAACTCTGAAAATTCTT